GGGAGATATATTAAAATGAATTGTTCCACGGACTTTCTGTTTCACCTAATATAATAAATTAATCATATAGTAAAATGAAAATTAATTTACAAAAATAAATATATTAGTAGTTTAAAAGTCTTTATTATATTTTATGAAAATATGTTTTTGTAAATTATTTACAGTTATATTCGTCTTATTGACAGATATATATTTTAATATACTAAATGACCTTTCACAATATGTCGAAGTCAATGGACAATATGACAGATCATTATCAGTTGATATGCGGTTCAATAAATTATTAATATCAGGATTATTATTAATTATTTAATTTGTCTAAAACAGTATTATTAGAAAGTTTTTTAATTCTATTTTTAGATGAATTAATTTAATTAAATGCATCAATAGTTTTAAGTTTAAGACTTTCTAATTGTGTGATATATTCAGTCAAAAATTCATACCTACTAATACTTTTCAAGGTATTAGCAAAGTTTTTTATATTAAGATTATTCCTAACTTTTTTTAAATATGAATTTACCTTTAAATCACTGTTAATAAACTTTCTAATAATATTATAATTTCTGCTAAAATATACAACTGTTTTAATCCAACTCCCCCAACGAGTAACTATAGTTTTTGGGGGCAGTTTTAATTTGGTAAATTCTATAAATTGATTTTTTATTTTTATTGGTTTTAATAAATATTTAAAATTAATTAATAGCTTGTCAGTTATATGAACGCTATAATGGATTTAAATTGTATTTCATTTATGTTTTAAATAAATACTAAACTTTTTGTAATATAGTATTCAATTTAGAATGTAAATAATATTTATACAGAATATTCTGTGTATTGTAATTGCACGGTAATTGTAAATAAATATTTTTAAAATTATTTACTAAATAGTAATGATTATTAAATGGATTACGCTATTTAACATTACAAAGTTTTCAGGATAAAGTTTATTTTCATAATTTTGTAGACGTTTTGTATGAAAGGCATTGACTTTCGATTTGTTTATGTTTTGCATTCAATTGTCATTTGAATTGTGGGGACAGTCTTAATTGCCAAACCCGCCAAACAAAAGAGAGAGAGAGAGAGAGCTAGTTATATATTAAACTATTGTTAAATATTAATTTTTTATTAATTTAATACAAGCATATTGACATGTTCTATAACTAAATCAGTTAATAATTTAATAAATTTAATTGTAATTATATATAAATAGCTCTCTCTCCCAATTTTTTGGTCCTAAATGGAAGAGAGAGCAATTTATATGTAATTACAATTAAAATTATTAAATTATTATTTGATTTAATTATTAAATACTTATAATACTTTGTATCAAATTAATAAAAATTAATATTTAACAATAGTTTAATATATAACTAGCTCTCTCTCTCTTTTGTTTGGCGGGTTTGGCAATTAAGACAGTCCCCAATGAAAGTGAACCGAAAGTCGTATTGAATACAAGTGTAGATCCGATGACACAAATAGACAAACCGTTGGAATACCCGATAATTAACGGGAAATATGTTTGCGATTACGAGGACTGCGACAAGACTTTCGACGATATGTCTCAGTGCCGACGGCACCGGATGTCTCATACGGGACACCGATTTTTCTGCGATTACCTGAACTGTTACTAAATCATAAGAAGTCTGATAATCACGTGTCGGGAGAGCCCTACCGGTGCGGACACAAGGAGTGCGATTACATGACGCCATTGAAAGAGGATTTATTGCAACACATGTCCGACAGATACAGCCATCGCATGGATGAGCCGATAGTCGACACCAAAAGCGTAGGGTATGTCTGCGATTGGATCGGCTGTCGGAAGAGTTTTACGAATGAATACGTTCTCAAAGGACACAAACGGAGCCACAATTACTGTGAGGACTTCCGGTGCGATTGGGAGGGCTGTGCGCAGGTGTTTGGATGTGCCAGAGGTCTTCGGGCACATACATTGCGAGTACACGACAACACCTACCGGTGCAATTTGGACGGGTGTCAGCACGCGACAGGTGTGCGATATAGTCTGAAATTGCATCAAAAGACACACTTGTTTGAGGCTCTTTGAGGACATACCTGAGCGCACATATAATACACTTATTTGTTATTAATAGTAAACATTTTACTAAATTGTAAATTGTATTCACATTATATTCTGTATATTTATTTATTAAATTATTTTAATATTAAAAGTTTTGATTGCATTTTGTTTTTATTTAATCAACATTTGAATACAAGTTTTTCTCATCATTTTGTAGACGTTTTGTATGAAAGGCATTGACTTTTGATTTGTTTATGTTTTGCATTCAATTGTCATTTGAATTGTGATTAAAGTTGAGGTTATTTTTGGCATAAATTGGGTTTTAATTGCAATTAAATTAGTGATAAAAATGAGTAAAACTTTTGCGGATTTATCGCAATTAAGTCGCGAAGAGTTGTATTCATTAGTGAATGCATTGAAACGTCAAATCAAATGACTTATTGTTAAACAAATGTCACAAATGTTTAACACATTTATTGAATACAAAACAAATAGATTTGCATTTAATCCGAGAATTAGTGGATTTGATTGCTTTGAATGGCAAACAGTCATCCGTTTGTGTGAATCAATCAAATGATAATCAAAACGATTTCACAAATATATCACAAGTTTTGCCACAAATTGGTTGCCATTCAAGAAGTGGTGATCAGAAGACTATTACACGAAATGAAGAGAAAAGTAATTCAAAGACAGAAACAAATGAATTGATTATTAAAGAAGAGGTTGAAGAGTCGGATGTCAGCCACGAGTCAAACGATAAGATAATCGATGAAACGGACGAAGAATTGAGAGAAAGACCGGACTCGAGAGGAAGTCATAAGACTTTGAATGAAACCATAGCTAAGAAAACACAGTTGAATGCGAAGTGCGGGCAGTATTCACGCGATTACAGAGACTGCGCCAAAACGGTTGACACAATCGGTCTTAAGACTCCTATTGGACACCGATTTTTCTGCGATCACCCGAACTGTTCCAAACACTTCCGGCAGATATCCTATTTAGAGGCACATAAGACGCATAACCGACACGTGTTGGGACAGCCCTACCGGTGCGGTCACTTGCGGTGCGATTACAGGACGCCATCGAAAGAGGATTTAGTGAACCACATGACAGACGGGTGTGTAATGAAGAGCCCGGCGCTCGACAGTGACAGCCAAAGACATGACTCCAGAGGAAGTGTTGAGACATTGAATGAGACAATTGCTAAGAAAAGTAAGTCGTTTTGAAAACCATTTTATGTTTTTTTTAATAATTAATTAATTTTTTCTTAAAACTTAAGAAGTGGTCATTAAATCAGAAGACGATCACAACAATGGTTCCAGTGATGAGGAAATGTGTGAAACATCTCAAGACATTCAACTAATAGAAGAGGTGTTCGTGTGTTCACTAAATGGCTGTGAATTCAGTAGTCCTGCTTTCGGACTGAAGTTAGCTGTGGTTGACCAGCATGTAGGCCTGCGGAAAGGGGTGTTTGGTACCGAATTTACGGGCGTTTTCCCAACAGTCATGTCCTGATTTGTGTTCCCTTGAGATTGACAGCACTCGTACAGACATACGACACCATTCAAGTGCACCCAATGTGGACAGACATTCCCCACCAATTTTGCTCTCAAACACCACTTCCAGAGGAATCATAACAAAGAGTTGGTGAAAGTCCTCACCCGACGGTCCACTTGTGGCAAATCAACTATCAATAAGAGTCGTCCCAAACGGCAAACCAGTGAACCGACAGTTGTGTCACAAGACGTGAACACAACTGAAAAGTCTATTAATAGTAATGAAGTGAAAATCGTGTCAATTGTGAGCCAAAATGATAGCCGTTTGCAGACATCAGAGGGACTCCATGTTTGCGGTTATAATGGTTGCGGTAAAAGTTACCCAACACTGAGACAATTATCACAACACAAACGAATGCATCCTTTAGTAAACCAAATGACAACTGACGGCAGATATGTTTGCGGTCACAGCGGTTGTGGTAAGAGTTTCGCTAAATTAGTGTACTTAACAAAACACAAGTACACGCACGAGGATAAGATCTACCGGTGCGATGTGGACGGGTGTTCAGCCAGGTTTTCGTCACCAAACTATGTAACCGATCATAAAATGTACAAACATAACACTAAATACCGGTGCGATTGGGAGGGATGTGATTACAAAACTGGCAGTAAATACATCTTTGATAAACACCAATTGATTGCGCACTCAGGGGAACGACAGTTCACGTGTCCGGCCGAGGAATGCCTGCAAACGTTCAAAACTAAGTCCGATGTGACTCACCATCAGCGGCGACGACATCCCGACTCTGTGCCGGACGTGCCGTGGATTCAGTGCACACACACTGACTGCCAGTTTAGGACCAAATCTAACTTGACTTTGAAGGCACACCTCAAACAACACACCAAACACTACCGGTGCGATCAGTGCAGCAAATGGTTCACACATTTATCTCAACTCAAACTCCATGAGCCCATACATAACGAAGCGCTACAATACCCGTGCGAATGGCCCGGTTGTGAGAGACGGTTCCCGAGAAAGGGTCACTTGGCTCTACATATGGCCGCACATGAGGGTGAAAAAAAGTACCGGTGCTCGTGGCCGGGCTGTAGCAAGAAATACAATGTTAAACATATGCTTAAAAGTCACGAAATAACACATAAAGATCCCACGAAATACCGGTGCCATTGGCCGGGATGTGGCCGACTGTTGAGCAGTAAGAAAAGTCTTACGCGACACGAGTCCGAACACACGGCTAGTCGCAGGTATCGGTGCCATTGGCCCGGGTGTGAGTATAACACTCACGACACTAAGAGTCTAAACAATCATCTAAATAGAAGTCATAAGTAATTGATAAACATCGAGACTACCGGTGCTCTTGACATGACTTTAAGAATCGGTCCAAATGTGTATTTATCCAAACTTTATGGGTATTACATAACAATTTGTTTTCCCATAATGGGAATCGATATTAAGATATTTATAGTTTATTTAAATTTATATAAATTATTATTATTTCTGATGTGATATATGGTGTCAAGTGATTGTAATTTGAATGAATTGTTTAATTAAACTAATTGTCGATTATTGCCTAAAAGTTTGAGTTATTATTGGTTGACGTTATTTGTGTGGATATAACAGTAAAGTGTAAACAAAATGTTTTGAAAAGTGAGAGTATTTTGTGTGAAAAATATTTGTTTTCATTTAATTTGATTGCAATTAACAGTGAATTAAAGGCATAAATGTGTGACAAATGAGTGAATCGTATGAATCGTTGTCTCATTTAAGTCGTGAAGAGTTGTATTCATTAGTGAATGCATTGAAACGTAACTTATTGTTAAACAAATGTCACAAATGTTTAACACATTTATTGAATACAAAACAAATAGATTTGCATTTAATCCGAGAATTAGTGGATTTGATTGCATTGAATGCCACCGAAAGTCGTGTCAATTGCGAGCAGACAGTCATCGGTGGACAACGTGTTGATGGAAGTGATGGCTATTATGACCACAAAAAGGGTTTTGATTTCATCACTCAATCCAACGGTAAATGAATTATAATTTGAAAACAATTTCATTAATAATTCAATAATTTTTGGTTTAAATTCATCACTAGTTTTGCAATCAATTGGTTGTCAGAGAAGTGATGACCAGAGGAATGAAGAGTCGATTGGAGACCAAGATGTGGTCATTAAATCGGAAGACAATCACAACAACGGTTCCAGTGATGAGGAAATGTGTGAAACATCTCAAGACATTCACTCAACGGAAGGGCTGTTCGTGTGTTCAGTAAATGACTGCCAATATAGCTGTCAATTGAAGGCCGGTTTCACTCAACATCAGCTCATCCGACATCCCGACGCCTTTCCGGACATATTATGGATTGAATGCTCGCATACGGGCTGTCAGTATAGGTGTAAAGACAAGAACAATATGAATGCACACCTCATAAGACATGTGAAGCCATTTGAGTGCAGCCAATGTGGACAGACATTCGCCCAGAACTACGGCCTTATTTGGCACACCCGGAAGAGGCATACACTGCCGGTTAGGGTCGGCGCCCGAGGGATTGGTAGGACTCGTGTGACTAAAAGTCGCCACAAATTACAGACAGTTGTGTCACAAGATATTCAATTAACGGAAGGGCTGTTCGTGTGTTCACTAAATGGCTGTCGAAACACGTTTGAATTCAAACAACACTATATAAGACACCAACTGGTAGTACATCCGGACGCCTTTCCCCACAAACCATGGCTTGAGTGCCCGCATACGGGGTGTGTGTTTAGGACTAAACACAACCACACTATGAAACTGCACTCATTCATACATACGAAGCCATTCGTGTGCACCCGATGTGGACAGACATTCACCAGTAATATAGCCCTTAAGAAGCACTCCAAGAGCTGTCATCCGATATCACAAACCAATAAACAGACGGTTGGGTCACGAGAAGCCCCAACGGAAGGGTCGTTCGTGTGTTCACTAAATGGTTGTGACTTCAGTTGTCAACGAAAACCAGATTTAAATCGACACCAACTGGTCGTACATCCCGGCGCCTTTCCGGACATACCGTGGATTCAATGTCCGCATACGGGCTGCAAGTTTAGTATTAAACACACGGGAACTATGACTCAACACTCGTACAGACATACCAAACCATTTGAGTGCACCCGATGTGGACAGACATTCACGAGTAAGAGTGCCCTTAAGAATCACTCCACGAGACAGAACTGTCACCCGAAATGGCAAACCAATGAACAGACTGTTGGGTCACAAGACGTGAACACAAATGAAAAGTCTATTAATAGTAATGAATTGAAAAGCGATTCAAATGACAGTCAAAGTGTTAGTCGTTTGCAGATATCAGAAAGACTCCATGTTTGCTATTATAACGGTTACGGTAAAAGTTTTCCCAATAGTTGTGAATTAAGGTCCCATAGACCCACTCACGTGACAGTTATCCCCAACAAAATTAACGGTCTTTATGTTTGCGATTATATCGGTTGCGGTAAGAGTTGGCCAATGCTGTCGAGACTAACTGAACATAAGTACATCCACTCTGCGAAGAGCTTCCGGTGCGATGTGGACGGGTGTACAGCAATGTTCTCATCGCCTATATATCTAAAAGGCCATAAAACGCGAAGACACAGCACTAAATACCGGTGCGATTGGGAGGGGTGTGACTTCAAAACCGGTGAAAAATATCACTTAAATAAACACCAATTGATTGTGCACTCAGGGGAACGTCGGTTCACGTGTCCGGTCGAGGAATGCCGGCAAAAATTTAAAACCAAACACGATATGAATGTCCATCAGCTGACACAACATCCCGACTCTGTGCCGGACGTGCCGTGGATTCAGTGCACACACACTGACTGCAAGTATACAACCAAATCTAATTGGGCTTTAAAGGCACATATAAAACAACATTCCAAACACTACCGGTGCGATGAGTGCGGCAAATGGTTCACACATTTATCTCAACTCAAGGGACATGTGCCCACACATAGCGATGTCCTTAATTACCGGTGCGAATGGCCGGGTTGTGAGAAACGGTTCGCAATAAAGGGTGCTATGACTAATCATATGAATACTCATACGGGTGAACACAAGTACAGGTGTTCGTGGCCGGGCTGTGGGAAGAAATTTAGGGGCAAAACTAAGCTTATAGAACACGAAGTGCTACACAAGGACCCCATGAAATACCAGTGCCATTGGCCGGGCTTTTTGTTTTGTTTTGTTTTGTTTATTGAATGAAATTAAGAGTCGGTTTTTGCTCCAAAATAAAAATACAAAAACCTTAACACATATTAAATGTTCATTTGTTTGACTAAAATAACAATTAATTCCTATTAAACTATTAATTCTTATAAAAAGTTTGACAAAAAATAATTCTATATACAATGAAATTATTTGAAATGAAATGTAATTATTTATGACTTAAAATTGAAAATAAGTTTGAAATCAGAACTTAATCTGTTTTAAGAATTGAATCAAATGTTTATATAAGTTTTGGTCACTAATGAGTTGATCCAATGGTATGAATGAGTGACCCCTTCGATGGATAGCATTGAGGAACGGAAACCTCTGTTCGGCGTATAGATTGCAGTCATATATCACATGAATTGGTGTCTCTATGTCTTCACCACAGAGACACATATCACTTGAAGTCAAATGGAAACGCTTTAGATATGAATTGAAGTTTCCGTGTCCTGAGAGGTATTGAGTGATCACATAGTTTGGTGACAATGTCTTGCAGTCGAGTCTGTGTTTGATATTCGGTATGAAGTCTTTGGTTTGCGAAGCTTTGGTTGTAGTCCTCCACCAGTCCTCCCATTCGTTATACAAAACACTTTTGAATTGATTTTTAGCGAAAGACAGCGGAAACGAGTCGTATATCGAATCCATTGGACTTAAGTCGGCGCCACTTTTAGCCAATTTGTCGGCCCTCTCATTGCCAGCGATGTCTGTGTGGCCTCTAATCCACTTCATATGGAGTGTCAGTCTATCGCCACAATAACTGATGAGTCTTTTGATCTCTTCGAATCGGCGCCACTTTTAGCCAATTTGTCGGCCCTCTCATTGCCAGCGATGTCTGTGTGGCCTCTAATCCACTTCATATGGAGTGTCAGTCTATCACCACAATAACTGATGAGTCTTTTGATCTCTTCGACCAAAGGATGAGAATTTCTAAACTGTTTGATAGCATTTAGAGCACGATGTCTGTGTGGCCTCTAATCCACTTCATATGGAGTGTCAGTCTATCGCCACAATAACTGATGAGTCTTTTGATCTCTTCGACCAAAGGATGAGAATTTCTAAACTGTTTGATGGCATTTAGAGCGCTCTGAGAGTCCGACAGAATAATGACTTTAATGTTGAATCTAATGAAGTCATCCCCGATGAGCTCCTGAATGGCTTCAATAGACTCCTTGATGGCCATGAGTTCGCTCTGAAACACTGAACACATGACTCCTAATCTGAAGTTTTTGGAAATCTCTTCGATGCCATCCCTGTAGACGACGAAAGCGGCGCCGACACTGGTGTCCGACTTTGAGCCGTCGGTGTAGACCTCGTAGTCGTAGTCACAGGAGTTGTGGTCACTTTCGATGAATTCGATGGCAGGAGTGGTCGCCGGATGTCTCATGTGTTTTGTCAATACCTTTCTCTCCATGTATTCACAGTTCAAACCATTCACGTCACCAGTGTATTGATGTTTAATATCAAAAATGAGATTCCGTTCTTTGATTTTGAGATCAATTGGTGGCAATCCTGCGATAGTGATGGCCGACTCGTATGAGATCGTACGGTAAGATCTGATGATTTTTATTGCTATTAAACGCTGTATTCTTTGAAGTCTTTTGATGTTAAATTTTGTCAAACTTTGGCCCCAAACAGAACTGCAATACAGAATCGATGTCTCTATGACAGCAGTGTATAAGACTTTGAGTGACTCGTAATTCAATCCCCAAGTGTTTCGCGAAATGAGTGGTATTTTCATTATCTTTTCTGTCATTTTCTTCTGCAGGTATTCAATGTGTTTATTATAAGTGAGTCTCTGATCGAAAACGACTCCTAAATACTTGATCTCATTCTTGAGTTCAATGGGAATGCCATTCATTTTGATGTTAATATTTTTATTTCTCTTTCTGGTAATAAGAACTGCAGAGGTCTTTGAAGGATTGAACTCGAGTTTCGCATTCTTTCCCCATTTCTGGATGTCTTCGAGAATACTGTTGGCGTGTCTTTCGATTGTCTTCAGATTTCTGCCATAAATCAAGACTTTGGTGTCATCGCAGCAGCACTTGATTTCTGTGTCTTCTGGTGTTTCCAATGAAAGGAGTCCATCAAAGTTGATATTCCAGAGCCCAGGCCCGAGAGCCGAACCCTGAGGACAACCTCTTGAGAGCTCTTTACTGATGATATTTTGTCCAACTTTTATGATCGCTTGTCTGTCATTCAAATAGCTTTTGATTATATTATACAGATTTTTAGGACACTTCTTGTCTTTGAGTGACACTAAGATCTGAGGCCACCAACAGTTGTCAAACGCGCCGGTGATGTCCATCACTATTATCAGTAGATATGCCTTATCGTTGAGTGCCTTCTGTCCCATCCAGTGAACGTATTGGACGGCGTCTTCAGTGGATGTGTTTGGAGTGAATCCATACTGACTCTCGGATAGAAGTCTATTTGTATACATATAGTGATTAATTCGGTTTATAATCAATTTCTCAAACAGTTTGGCGATCACTGGTAATAGAGATATCGGACGGTATGACTTGATTGCAGACTTGTCTTTGTCAACACTTTTCAATAATAACTTTATGACTGAAATCTTGAATAGTTTCGGAAAATATCCGTCTTTAAGACAAACGTTAAATATATTTAACAGAATGATGAGTCGATTGAGTGAATGGTGCGAATGATCTGATCGTTGATTTGGTCCCAACCGCTGCTTTTGTTTGGTTTCATATGATTCAGGGCTTCATTGAGTTCTCCCAAAGTAAGCATTAAGTCGTCTTCAGTGTCGGGCAGCGACTGAACCACTCGTCTGATCTGTTGGTGGTATTCATTGTCTAATGTCTGTTCGTCGTCTGGAAACATGCATTCAATTGCATATTGAAGTGACTCTTCAACTGACTTAGTGTAAGAGCCGTCGGTTTTACAGAAGTTCGGTACAGAAGTCTCGGATTTCAGTTTCTTAAACATCACTTTGTAAGGGAGACCCCATGTCTTAGACTCTTGACATAACTGCCGCCAACTCTTAAGTTTCGATGTTTTAATGAGTTGAGTATAGAGTTGTTTTTCATTATGATAACGTATTTTACGTATGTTTCTCTCGATTTGGTCTTTGCATCGCTGGTATCGGCGCCTTAAGTGATTCACGAGTTTTCTCATTTGTGTCAACTCTTGAGTCCACCATCTGTTTGACTTCTTGAAGGTCTTCTGTAGAGGAATGGCTATATCACAAGATTCGATGATTGATGTCATAAATGTCTCTATGAATGAGTCGATGTCTTCATTGCATTTAATGGCAGTCAGTCTGATGTGTAAGTCATGAAGTTTTTGTACAAATTTATCACAGAATTTATTTGTGTCAAGCATTTTCATCGCATATTTGATATCTAATTGTTTGAGAACTAATGGATTAATATTTGAATGACAGACCGATTCCACTGAAGTCTGAGTATTATCACTGGAATTGTGCTCAAATCTAATGTATTGGTGATCAGAGAGTGATTCCCTGGTATCCACTCTCCAGTTATCGATGAAATCAAAGCAATAATTATTTACAAAAGTCAAGTCTATATGAGACTCTCCCTGAGTGTGACTGTATGTCGGAGTCTCTGAATTGTTTAAAACTATTAGATTATTAGTTACACAAAAGTCTATCACTTCATATCCTCTTCTGTTATCACATCTACTGAACCACTGTTTAGACTTCGCGTTAGTGTCACTTGAGATGATTAGTGTCTGTGGTTTTAGTTCATTGATTGTGAACTCCAAGTCATTGAGTGATGTGATGATGTCTTCGGACGGTGCCATATATGCAGAGCACACATGGATATCGATGTGATTGAAGTTAAGAAGAGCCCAGGCCTGAGATATAGTCGTATGTCTGATGAGTGGCATAACTTTTACACGCTTTGGATTCACTATAATTGCGGCCTTAGGTCTGTCCGTGAGTTGAATCACTTGGAAGTCTGTGGGCACACAACTGACACATTTGTCCGCACAGTATGGCTCCTGAATGAGCGCCACATCGATGTCCTGTTCCCTCATATTCTCGATTAATACATCCGTTGCATTAACACAATTGTTTAGATTTATTTGAATGAATTGTATTTTTTCGTATGAATTATTGATTAAATTATTCATAACTAATCTTAGATTTGATTATTTCTTGGATTCGATTGAGTGACGGACAGTTGGTGTGGAGGGCGTCGTGTTTAGTGTCGTATTTCTTGAGGTTAGGATTCTTGAGGTTTGCATTATATGTCAAACAATTGACACAATTGATGACTGTCTTCGAGGGACAGGTAGTGTGTGTGTGTTCTCCAGCACAAGTGGAGCACCGTAGCGGTGATTTGCAGTCTTTCTTCGTGTGTCCAAACCCGAGACAATTGAAACAACGGGTAATTGATATGAAGTCTTTGACTGTATGTCGACTCCAAAACACATTCACTTTCCCGATCGCTTCAAAGGCTTTGCGAAGCCCTGGACTCACTTCCAATACGAGATGTCTTTGATTTTCATTTCTGGCGCGAATGAAGAACTTGGGGATCAGATCTTCAACAGAATGGTTGTCAATGTAATCACTAATTGACTGGTTTTGTGATATAATTCTGTCGACAATATCTTGCATTTGTTGCTTCAACTGGTCTTCTGTTGGCTTTTCCGTGTCGATGTCGTTGTGGAGCCCATAGATTATGAGCCGAGGATTGCGTTTCTTAGGCAGAGATGCGATGCACTCCTCAGCCATGTCTTCATTTATCTTATCTTGAAGTCTGAGACACTGTTGTCTGTCTGTGCACTCAATCGCTAGACCATTGTTTCGGATCTTCTTTACTCCATTTATGCCGATGTTTTTGATTGACGTGAAGTCAATGTCTTTCTTGAGTTTACTCTTGAGAGCGTCACTCGTGATGTCTTTCTTCGGGTAAACGATTACCACTTCTCTGGTCTTCGGTGTCTGTTGTGTCTGTGGTTTCTGTTTGGCTGCGGCCGCGTATGACATCGGCTGCGGTTCAGCACTTGTTTGACTCTTTTTGGCCGTCTCTTCGACCAACTCTTTAGACTTGTCTTTGAATTCTTCAAATTTGGACACAATTTGCTTGAACTCCTCTTCAAACGCATTCCTATCGTCTTTACTCATTGTCTTCCGGAGAGAAATACCGCTCAAGTCTTTGGAGAACTTCTTAAACATTTTCTTCATCTCCGTGTCGATTGCATTGACACTCATCTGGAGTTTACTCTTGCGGGCGATCACTATCTGTGCCGCCATTTCGGTTGATTTCACTTTAATCACTATAAACACAATTAAAAGTTTGTATGACTACCGGTGCCCACAATATACAGCACCGGCAATACACGTGTTAGGGCTCTGCTATCTATTCGCTGTATTTCTGAGGAATTTACTGCCGATTGTGGTGAAAGTGACCACTCATTCGATGCACTCAACACTTATGAATGTAATGAAAGGGTTTGATCACTGAATGGATTGACTAATTGTGCACTAAATTGGATATAATTAGAGACTAATTTGCAATTAATGCACACTTATTGCCATCAATTACGTCCCCCGATTGGCCCGGATGTGAATTTAATGGCACCCGCGCTAATCTGGACAAACACAAGCTCATACACACCGGTGATAAACCATTTGAGTGCGATTGGCCTAATTGTGGCAAACGGTTCCGATGGAAACATTACTTAACAGATCACAAGAATAGTCATACAAACGATAAGCCATTTGCGTGTCATTGGCCCGGATGTCAGTACCGGTCCAACGATAGGGGGAACGTTAGGAAACACGTCCGCACGAGTCATCAATAAACCGCCTCTCAGTTTATCCAGTTATCTATCGCTTGCGATATACTGTATGTCTTCAGTGGTGA